CCCTGGAGATGTTCAAGCCCAGGTTGGACGATGCCCTGAGCAACCTGATCTAGTTGGAGATATCCCTGTTCCTTGCAGGGGGGTTGGACTAGATGACCTTTGAAGGTCCCTTCCAGCCCTAACCATTCTATGATTCTATGAGAAGGAAAAGATTACATGCCAAAAGATTATTTTTTTTTTAAAGCCATGACTAAATCTCTTGTATTAAATTTTGTGTGTAAAACGTTAGATTACATCAGTTTTGCTTTGTGACAGGATTTACTAGGGCAATGCTGTATTGTTTGACTGTGGTACGTGCTGCTGCAGTTCACCAGCTGATACCTCTTTGTCTACAGATTCTTTCGGTGAGGATTGATGATTTGGAGCAGCTGCCAGAGACTACTACTATTGATGCCTCCTCAATTGGGATTGTTCAGGTAAATTTGCCATTGCAGGATTCTGGTGGTAGCTAGGTTCCGGGCCTACTGGAAGGTGAGGTGGGGACATCACTTTTTTGGTACAAACCATAGCTGGGCATAGGCTGATGAGCAAGGAATGTGCTCTTTTAGAGAGTCAGCCTCAGCTTAACATGTATAAGCAGATGCAAGCTGTTGATCTGCTTTGTTGTATAACATGGGTTCTGGTAAAACAGAAGTAATTACAGGGTGAGGTCTCATTCCCTGAAATCGAGTTGTTGCTAAAGTTTGTTTCATCACTTGAGAACTGTCAGTAAAGCAACTTCAGGTGATAATCTCTTTCTTGGAACTTCACTAAGCAAAATGACTTGATGTTTTGTTTGGAAATGTGTTGCTCCAGCCGGAATTAGCCTTGGAACAGGGAGAACTACCAGAAGGGAAACAGCATCTGAAAACTCCTAAACGTGGCCTGAAACGAAAACAAAAGTCAGGTGAGGAGGAGGAAGCTCAAGTGCCTGAGGACCCTGCCTTCAATGAATACACAGAGAAGGAAGGTGAATTCACAGGGAATGTTGGAGATGAGACTAATTCAGCTGTCCAGAGCATCCAGCAGGTGCGCTCCAGTAGCAGGGTGATGGGCAGCAGGCATTGCTTAGAGGGGTAACCCTTATTTTTTCCTAATAGCAAACATGAAAGAGTGACCGGAACATTTAGGGCTACTTTGATAAAGTGTGGTAACCTGAAAGATGAATAGAGACTTTTTTTTTTAAAAAAAAAAAAAAAGGAGTTGGACCTGTAGGCTCCTCCTGCTTGTCTTCAGTTCCTTGTTTGCCAGATACCGCTGTCTGGAGCCATGACTACAAGTCTGAAAGTTAATCAATGTGTCTGCTCGTTTTGAATGTTGCATATGCCTCCCTCCTATTACCTTCTTATTTCTGTGCTTGGAAGTTGTTATTCCAAGCTTTCTGTGTTCTCCTCGGTGTGCGTGACTTCTCTTGATGGCAGTAGCAAGATACGAACCCATCAGCACTCAGGTGATCTTTCTTAATGCTTGATGTTTGATAGTCAGCTGCAAGATACAAGGTTGAGATTACCTTTCTGTTTTCCGCAGGTGGTGGTGACCCTTGGGGACCCAAATGTCACAGCCCCTTCCAGTTCTGTCGGGCTGACCAATATCACTGTTACCCCCATTACGACGGCAGCTGGAACCCAGTTCACAAACCTCCAGCCAGTGGCTGTGGGCCACCTGACTGTACCTGAACGCCAGTTACAGCTGGACAACTCCATTCTCACCGTGACATTTGACACTGTCAGTGGTTCCGCCATGCTGCACAACCGCCAAAACGACATTCAGATCCAGCCGCAGCCAGAGGCAGCCAATCCTCAGTCTGTGGCCCATTTTATAAACCTGACCACCTTGGTGAACTCCATTGCCTCTCTAGGGAACCCGATCACAGAACAGCATCCTCTGACATGGAGGTCAGTGCCTCAGACTGATGTCTTGCCACCCCAGGCACAGCCAACACAACAGCAGTCAGGACAGCAACAGGTTCAAACAGAGCAACAACAACAGATGTATAGCTACTAATTTATACTTTGAAAAGTTTTGAAGTGGACAGTACTTAGAGACAAAAACACACAGACATTTGGAAAATTTCTAATAGGATTGTTTGCTGGATACCAAACAGAGCTGGGAAAATGTTTATACAATGAAATGTAAGCTAAAATTGGCATAGCACCCTGCAACGCCCTAATCTTGAGATTTTCACACTGTCTCTAGACCTTGCACTCTCTTAAAAAAAAAAGAAAAAAGAAAAAAATGTCACCATAAATTTAGCACCCCCTTGCACTGTGTATTTCATGCAGTAAGATTGAGATTTGACAGCAGCGTCACAATATATTTTAACCAAAGCAGGGAAATCCTAAATATTACGGCACTGGTGATTTACGAAACCCTTTCAGCCATACCACGTCACTTCTTTCCAGTCTGGAAGTTACGTATGAAGACCTTGTTGGCAGCAAGGTGGAATGCACTCGTGGTCAGCTGGTAGAAACTGAAATGTAAAGACACAAATGGGCAAAACAATAATTGTCTCATTTTTTATCTTCTTTAGGTCTTGTATCTAACAATATTGGTAAAGTAGGTGGAGGTTGGGGCTTTGGGGTGGGGATGAGTGTGGTGTGGAAGAAAATATACCAATTTCACAAAGTGTTTACATTTTAGTCATGGGAGAAACCCAGTATCCATAACACAGTGTTAGTGCTACTTGAATCAGATAGCTGGGCTAATGCTAAAGCAACTTTTATGGTCTTCTAGTCAAGTGTGAATCAAACCAGTTAGGAACTGAAAAAAGAATGTGATATGGTTTTATGTAATTTTTGAAAAAGCTCTTTCAATCTTGCTTTTAGCAAATAGGCCTGAAGAGCAATCAGTCCCCTTTGATCGAGTTCAGGATGTGAATTTTTTTCAATTCGTCTTCTTTCATCATGTAATAAACATTTGAGAAAGCATTCTTTTTATATATATATACGTGTATATATATATATAGCCTTTGTACTTTACTGTGTGTTCCTGGTGAGTATTTGTGTGAAAAACACTGTTAACAATATGATTCATTATTTTTTTTCATCCCCATATTGCTCTTTCTCACAGAAATAATCTTGGGATTCTATTCCTTCTGTTTCCATAACTATTTCCAAAATTCATAGCCACACACAAGATTGTGTGAAACGCAGGAAAGAAGAATGTCTGAAGCATATTCTGCCACGTGGAGGCAGTATGCCCTAGTGTATAACGGGCAAGGTTTGCATGGCTGTTGGGGATCTACGTAGTGGGTTGTGTCGAATGCATCACTGCCGATACTACACTTTCATTCCATTCTCCATACATTGATGTGCAGTCTGGACTTTTGCATGTCACGAAGATAGTATCTTTCCCACAGAGAAAAAAGCAGCTGATATCAAAAAGGAATAAACTAAAAAAAAACCCCATGTTGCTGCCTGGAATCCTGAAAGGCAAATCTGTCCTTGCAGCTATAGCTGAAGAACAAGGTCCTTTGGGGCAGCAGACTGAGCCATAGAACCGTGTTAATGATTTTGGCTGAGGATAAAGCAGCTGCTGTGTTTGACAGTGAAGATAGATTGCTGGTTGTAAAAGTCCTGTCTGTGCCTGTTGTATTTATGAAAATGTTCTATGTATTAGCAAAAATAGGAGTAGGAATGACTTCAGCTTTGAAAGTCTGTATTAACATGGACTACTTGACCCCTAAAGGATGCCTTATAATCTCTACAACAAATTCTTCCAAAGTATAAATGTCTGGATATTAAAGTTAACCTCCAATAAGGTTTTCTTGGTGCCATAGTAGTGTCCAGAAGCTCACTATGCTAGGCTCTGTGTAAAGGTTAGTAGCAACAGGACATGTATAGAAAAGGGGTTTCTGTTGACAGATTTTGTGTGTCAGAGGAGCAGAACTACTTTTCTCTAAACGTCAGCAAGCCTATAAAATGTCTGCATGGGAGGGACCTGTATTTGATGGGACAAGGATGCATATCGGAAAGAGCAAATATCTTTTACTGGTGTGGGAAAGAGATTTTTTCATTCCCTTGCCCCGTCTGTCTTCCTCAGATTCTTTTCACGCAATACCGTGAGATCCTGTAATTTTAGTAGCCTCCCACTATCCTGAGAAGTGCGGTTTTATGCCCCTCTATCACTTGAAGTATTTTGCCACTGGCTTGAGCCAGTTAAGTTTCTCCTCGGCTATCCTGTCCACAAAGGCTTCCTCTTCACACCAAACCCACTGGTCAAGAGGAAGCTAGGTTTTATTTATGAAATATGTTGTTTATATACTTGAAACTTCCCCTCTCCCCCGTGTTGGTAATGCCTAATTGGTAAGGCACATTATCTTTTGGCAGGGTACTTCGGGGGAAAAAAATAGGAAAGGAAGCAAATGTAGAGGTCCTAGGTCAAGTTATTGTGGTAAATAAAAGATGGTTAACATCTAAAAAAATACATATACATATATACGCACACACAGAGGGTTACAGTGCTGCATATAAGGTTTCTAGGAGATCAGGGGTTTGTTTAGACATATGTGACGGTGATTAAGCTTTTAAATGGGGAAGCAGAGGTGTTTTGCCTTAGCTGCAGAGAGAGGACATCTGCTCTACGTTAATACCACCGATGGTAGCATTCATGATGCATTGAATCAGCCTGAGTCATTTTAACATGTAATTGCTTATTCGATAAGAATTGCAATCAGCCATTACAGAGACCTCTCTGACTTCAAAAAACCCCAAAATTTCTTTATCCTAACCTGATAGCCTCTGGTATTCTGTACTCTTTGCTGCCTCCTATCCCTCCCATGCTAACTGGCCTGCATAATCCCATCCAAGACAGGCAAGCTGGCATTTTACCTTTCTGATAATGGTTGATTCTAGCTGATTTAAAAAGGAATGATCACAGAATGAACGCTTACACATTGGTGGTCACATAGAAAAGAAATGTCTGTCTTCAGTCTCTCAGTATCCCCAAAATCAGAATAATAGAACAGCCCAGGTTGGAAGGGACCTTGAAAGATCATCCGGTCCAGCTTTTTGTGGGAAAGGGAGTTTAGAGGAGATTATCTAGTACCCTGTCCAGTTGCATCTTTACAACTTCCACCAATAGAGATTCTACCACGTACCTGGGGAGGTTGTTCCAGTGGATGATTGTTCTTACTGTTAAAATTAAGTAATGCTCTGCTTCAGGAGGGAAAAACACAACCCCTGGAAGTGCTTTGACTAGGCCAGGCAATAGAAAGTTCTCTGAAAGCTCATCTTCCCAGAACACTCCTTTTAGAGATGAGCTTGACTTTCCCTGCAACCATTGCTGTGGCACCTCATCATCTTTCAGCGTGATGTTATTATTACTGCTGTTATTAACATCCCTGTGAGAACAAAACTGTATCTTGGGTGTGCTGCAACATGACATTTCAAAACAAATTATTTTCTTTGTTCTTGTTTCAAACAAATTACTTTGTTTGGAGAAGTTGGAAATTGATGCCTTTTCAGACAGAGCTTACCTTGGAGAACTGGTAAACGCCAGCTGCTTTCCCCATGAAGCCTTTTTCAGGTGAATACCAAAGTTATACTGATGCTGTTTCAAACGGCACAAGAAATAAAACTGCGTAAGGGATGTGCAATCTAAATTTCCTTTGCCAATTTGTTACTAGCCTTTGCCGCTGTAGAGTGTGAAGGTTCTTATTTTCAGCCATGTGTTGGAGATCTTGCGTAGCAACTGTTCAGTAACAAACTGGAATTACTTTGAGCCAAAGGAGTGATGTTGTGTAGTGTTCTCTGTATTGTCATTGTTTATCGCTAAGACTGTTATTTAATTGAATGCTGTCTGTGGCACATGGGCTCTGAAGTAAAGGAGCATCAAGGTACAGAACCCTTTCTCTGCCAGTGTTATTCTTTTCTGGTCCTTAATTAATGCATCAAACTTTTTTTTTTTTCTTCAAATTGCATAGACTTGCTTCAAAAGCAGTAAGTTTAATCACGATCTCATAGACTTTGTGCATCCCACAATATACAGAGACATGAGATAGTGTTCTAAAATATTCTGTAGCTTGTTACTACGTAATAACAGAAAGCAGTGGAGATCAAATCTTTCTTGCCTGTGGTCTGTGGTGAATTCTCTCAAGAAAACCTACTGTATCAAGTGCTCTGAAATTAAAGTTTTCTTTTTAGATGTGTCAGTATAAAAAGTGAGTATTTTCACTGAAACCTACCAGTCAGTCCCCTATCAGTCTAACCAGCTATTTTTCTGTACCTTTTCATTGTTCCAGAAATTGTTTGAAGTTAACAGCCAGGCAACAGTTTGATTTCTTTCTAGAACTGAATTTTCTGTCAGTTTGTCAGAGTGATTTACTAGTGTTCTGCACACACAAAGATGCCTGAATTTCTCACCTTGAAAACTAGGAATGGAAAAAATACCATACATCCAAATGACAATCATATAGAAACTATAGGTACTATGGGAAAATGGAAAGGGTAAATAGCTTTGTTAGTATTGCTCTGTGAATTCTTGTTTGGTAATGAGATTTCCTTGGTGCTGTTTAAAGTAATAATAATGTCACTCCTTCTAATTACTTTTGGCCTTACATTTATTATTGATATAGGCATACCTGTTGGAAAGTGTTTAGCCCTTTGTATTTTTGGCACGCCTTTTCATGGTGGTTCTGTGTTGGCCTCGTCTGGTGTAAAGGGAGAAGGAAATGTACTGGAGGAGGATACCGCTGATCTGCACCACGATGCACAGCAAAGCTCTGCTTGGAGTAGTTTTGGAGACAGACTGTGCAGCCAAGCAACTTCCGTCTGTGGGATTAGTTACCGAGGTTTCGATTCACAGAAGGGCTCTTGCCCTATAGCGAATCCAAATTGTCACGTTGGCAACAGGAGAAAGAAAAAAGTGGTTTATATCATGTTTGTCATCAGCTCTTCTTCAGTACTGAGATGTCACCATGATACTTGCACTGTATATGGCAAATCGCCATTAAATTTTCTTGGTTAAAAATGTTGGAAGGCTGCAGAAAGGCACAGGTACTTCACCATACAGCTTGACCATGGTTGGAAAACACGTTTCTTGCCCTGAAATGCTTTGAGAAAGCTGCTGGATTTATTTTCCCTCCTGGGTGCTGAAGTGCTGTTCTGCATGTGTCCTGCTGCCAGCTACGAAGCAGGCAGTTCAGCTTGGACTGGAATTCGGCACAGAGAGCGCCCGCGGTACAGCTAAGCATGGCTGACACGCT